AAAATAAACAGCAAAACCAATGGAGATTGAGTACTAGAGTTAGCAGTTGAAGAGGGGTCCTGTGCCAGTGGCCTGAGGCAAGAGGCCAGAAGGAGGAAGGTGTGGTTGGACGGAGACTGTAAGATGACTGAGCTTGGAGAACTGAAGGAAGTTCACACTGCAGCGTGAAACTGAGCAACCTGGCAGGGTCCAGACTACTTTCTGAGAGTGTGTCTACTGAGGAGAAAGGATTGAAAGATTTTACTTCATGGAGTGGGATCTAGACTACTGATCTGACTTGCTTTTTTAAAACACCATGCCAGCTGCAATGGTGAAGATCAGATTACAGGGGCAAGGTGATTGTGCATAGATCATTTAGCAATTTATTGAGGTAAACCTAGGCTTCATCTCTGGAAAATTATGTTATTGCCCATCTTCTTAATGCTGCAACAATATGTTTTTTTAGTTACTGTGTATATATTAGAGCATTTTGAAATGACTTCAGGTGTATTTTTTGACAGTTTAAAAGATGATTTAATATTTTTCTTTTTTAAGTGTGCAAAATTGGCTGCCTTGTTCTTTTAAATAAATAGCCTTTTATGGACAAGCTTGGGAATTCTGCTTCACATCTAGAGAGATTTAGCACCGTATTCAGGTCTGCTTCTCTCATATGTCTTTTATACTGCCACAGAAATTTGAATATTTTATAGTAGTGCTGTTCAATAAAAATATTTGCACTGCAAATGTGAGCCACATGTGTAATTTTACATTTTTTAGTAACATTAAAATGGTAAAAAGAAAATGGCAGGATTCATTTTAATAATGTATTTTACTTAACTGCAGATATCTAAAACATTAGTTCAAGATACAGTCAATATAAAGCTGTTAATAAGATATTTGACATTATTTTTGCACAGTCTTAGAAATTCAGTAGATATTTTGTACTCAGATGCATTTCAAAGTGTGTTATGTTTTAAGGATTCAGGAGTCTGCTGTGTCAGAGAGCTCTAAAGATTTCTGGATTAATGAGTGTTTTATTTTTTTAAGCTATCAGATTTATAGAAATAATAACAAACACATGAGTTTTATTTGGAGTAGGGTTGTGTGCTGTTATAAAGAAAGGTTGAAACGCTGAATGTCTCAGCAGTATTATGAAATTGTTTTTTAATAGTTTGAAATAATTAAATTTACTTATTTATTCACTTATTTACAATTTCTTGATGTTATTGGAAAGGCACATAGGATTTATAGAGAGAAGGAAATACAAGCAGAAAAAATCTTCCATCCACTGGTTTACACCCCAAGTGGTCGCAATGGCCAGAGCTGAGCCAAAGCCAAGAGCCCGGAGCTTTTTTCAGGTCTCCCATGTGGGTGTAGGTTTCCAAGGCTTTGGGCTGTACTCCACTGCTTTCACAGGCCACAAGAAGGGAGCTGGATGGGCAGTGGAGCAGCTGGGACATGAACTGGTGTCCATATGGGATTACAGCACTTACAAGGCAAGGATTTAGTCATTAAGCCTTTGCGCTGGGCCCAGAGTTAAATTTCTAGTTATTATTTACTGGTGTGGGAGAGTAGTTTAGGGTTGAAATAAATGGAGATGTGATGGGATTTTCTGATGGAAATCTCAGTAAAAAGAAAGGTTTATTTTAGAGAGATTTCTCAGTGCTATGTAAATCTATAGCTCACATTCACTGAAATATGTTGTCACCTGCATTGTGCCTTTGTATGTGTTAAGAAATGAAGGATATGATGTGTATTCTTTGCAAAATCTTAGCCAACATGATTTTGATAATTCAAAATGCACGTCATTCTTGAGTTATAAAATATGAGAACATTAGTGTTTTTTAAGAAATTCTTTTGGTTGCTTGCTTAGGAGTCAGTTTTTACTCATGGGTTAATTTAATTGGTTCTATAGAATTGCAGATTTCTTAGCAGGGACTGTTTTAGGTAGCTTGTAAGATGCTACTTCTTGGGCCCAGTACGGTGGCTTAGCAGCTAAAGTCGTTGCCTTGAATGGGCCAGGATCCCATATGGGTACTGGTTTTAATCCTGGAAGCTCCACTTCCCATTAACCTCCCTGTTTTTGGCCTGGGAAAGCAGTGAAGAATGGCCCAAAGCCTTGGGACCCTGCACCCACTTTGGAGACCTGGAAGAAGTTCCTGCTCCTGGCTTCGAATTATGCACGGCTATAGCCGTTGTGGTCACTTGGGGAGTGACTAATCGGATGGATGAGCTTCCTCTCTGTCTTTTCTCCTCTCTGTATATCTGACTTTGTGCTAAAAATAATAAAAAAACAAATCTTTTTTTTTTAAAAAGATGCTACTTCTTATGGCACCGAGCATTGTAGTGTAGAAGGTAAAGCCACATCCTAGGATGCCTCACTGGTGACCTAGCTGTTTTAGCTTAGCTCACTGCTTATGTATCTGGGAAATGCAGCACAAGATGGTCCCAAGTGCATGGCCCCCTACCACCCACACTGGAGACCTGGTTGAAGGTCCTGGGTTCTGGCTTCGGCTAGGTCAAGCCTGGCCGTTGAGTCAATCTGAGGAGTGAACCAACAGATGGAAAGTCCTTTCTCTTTGTACACTTACACACATCCCCACATGTATTTTAAAGATGTTACTGGGGATACCTGTAGCTATGTCAGAGTACCTGGGTTTGGGTTCTAGTTACCTTTAGGCCTGAGTTCAAGTCTCAGTTCTGCTTCTGGTTTCGCAGTCTTATTGGTGTATGCTTAAGTGTACATGTAGGAGACCTGAATTGAGTACCTGATGCCCAGCTTCATCCAGGCCAGTACAGCCCCAACCTTCATGGGCACTTGAACAGTGAAATAGTAGCTGGCATTCTCTCTCTCTCTGTCTTTGTCTTTTAAAGAAATGAGAAAAAAATTCAGTAATACTTTAGCATGAACAGGTATCTTCCTGCTTTTCTATTTTAGCATCTTAACGTCTAGCTCAAATATAAATAACATTTGTTTTAATTAATGTACCCTACCAAATCTCAGCATATTATAATCTATCTTTGGTAGAGATAATTATAAAGCCTTCTTTCTTTCAAATCAGTACATATTTGTTCTCTATGATTTATATTCTAATTATGAGTTATTTTCTCTAGATTAGTTTGATATTGATGCAAGGAAGAATTTTTTTTTATTTGAATGTATTCTCTTTTTCACATTAGCGAGCTAGTGCTGGAGAGAGAAGCAGGAAGTGAGAGCTCACATTGTTCAGCTCACTCCCTAAATGTCCACAAAGGACGAGTTTGAACTAACTTGGAAAAGCTGGGAGCCAGGAACTGAGTGCCTCCCAGAATTTGCATTACCAGCAAGCTGGAGTTATGAGCCAGATCTGCAAGTTGAACATAGGCTATCTGATGTGGGTCATGAATGCCCTGACCAGGATCTTAGTGGTAGGCCAGACTCTCCTCCCACCCTTCTTTCTATTACCTCACTGATTGAATAAACAGTTTGACATTTATTACTGTATACTATTACAGTTACTATGCCAGGTACTGAGAATACAAGGGTGTTCAGAAGCAGCTCTCAAAATTTGGTCTCTTCAGGGTGATTTTTATTTAGGAAATGTATATAATGACTCTGCTGAAAAGGCTTATTCTTAGTACTTTACAATTTAAAAAAAACTGTAAAAACTTTGTAACTGCTTTTTCGTTATTTAAGTTCCTTGAGGGTATTTTTTTTCATGTGCAGGAGGGAACATGACTGAGGACAGGAGATTTTCTTAAATATTCAGTGCTGTGAGTCACAGTTAGAATTCAGCTTTAGAATTGCAGTGTGCTTGTTCTTATCTTGAAGTGTATATTTAACATGGCTTGCCTAGGAAGTCCTGTTTTACAAGGCTTGCTGGTTTGACTACTTTCGTGACTGTATCTTTGAAGTCCTACACCTGTACTTTTCAAGTGTTTTGTTGGTGTCATTGTACTTATGCTCAATTCTTACTTCGATGTTGAGCAAGTAAGTAGGTGTATCTTAAAAATTAAACTACTTATCTTGCTGTTAGTACTTAGAGAATGAGAACAATGAAAATGTTTATTTGGTCTTACTGACTTTGAAAAACTAGAAAGTTACCTATTATGTTTTCCAAGGCTTATGTTTGTAGGCGCTGAAGATACAGATTTTAAAATGATGAAAGGAAAATGAAATTAGTAGTTTTTTTTAATTTTTAAAAATTAACTAGTATTTACAGCTGGTAAAATATTTAAAAGGAATAGTCTCCCTTTCAAACCTGGTACTTCAGTAGTCTTATTCCTTTCTCTCTGGGCAGCTATCTTGGAAAACTATCTGGAGATAGCTTGTACATCCACAAATAATTATATACTGTATCTCTTTATCCCCTCTGTCCTCCCTTTTCTGGGAGTAAAAACCCACATATCTTCTACTATATTATTTTTGCTTTTGTGTTTTCTGCATTTATTGTAAAAATTATATATTTGAAAGGCAGATTTACAGGGAGAAGGAGATGGAGGTAGAGAGAGAGAGAGCTTCCATTTGCTCGTTCACTCTCCAAATGGCCTCAATAGCCGAAGCTGAGCAAATCTGAAGCCAGGAGCCATGAACTTCTTCTGAGTCTTCCACGCTGGTGCAGGGCCCCAAGGCTTTGGGCCATCCTCGACTTCTTTCCCAGGCCATAAGCAGGGACCTGGATGGGAAGTGGAGCAGCAGGGAAATTAATCTGCGATTATATGGGATGCTGGCACTTAGAAGTGGAAGATCTAGCTGGTTGAGCCATTGCGCTGGCCTTCATGTTCTGCACTTTAAACTTAATGTTTCCCCTTGGGAATTGTTTCATGTTATTGCCTCAAAAGTTCTTTCTTTTTTGCTGTTGCATTGTGAGACTTAAGTTATTAAATCATTCAAATACTTAATAGAAGTAGCTATAGTTATATAGTGAATGAATAGTGTATCTCTTAATAAAATGATTTTAACTTTTGTTATGCTAAAGTGGATGCTTTTTATTATATGTTGGGAAAGTATTGAAAGAATATTTTTGCTTTTTTTTTTTCAGATAATCAGAAAGATAAATGGAGTCTGAGCAGCTGTTCCATAGAGGATACTATAGAAACAGCTACAACAGTATAACAAGTGCAAGTAGTGATGAGGAACTTTTAGATGGAGCAGGTGTTATTATGGACTTTCAGACTTCTGAAGATGACAATTTGTTAGATGGTGATACAGTGGTTGGTAAGTTCCATGTTAAAACTCAATTTTTTAGTCGTGGGTATTTCATAATTTATTTTTCATTGAGGCTAGTTTTTGGATTTAGTTTTTTTCTTTTATTAACCTGAGATGGAACATGTGACAACTAAATATTTAGATGTGTAAAATCCAGTGATATTTATTATATGCTTGAGTTTTGTTTTTTAAATTTATGTTTTATTAACCTGTAGCCCAATTACATTTAACATAATCACCAATACGTCTGGTTTCAAACCTGTTTATTATTTTAGTCTTTTAGCAATCATTTTCTTAGTTTGTGAGTCTTATGCCCAGGGCTTTTAAGAATCATAATTATTTTTTAGGAGAAAAGCTACATTGAGTAAACTTTCTCATTCAAGTCCACATTGCATTGGTGGTTCTGAACTTCACGTTTTGTCTTCTTGGCCTTTTGAGGCTGTCGAAAGCTTCCAGTCTTTATCAAACTTCCCGGTTATAAACTCTATTTGGAAGCGGTAATTAGCTCAAGACAAAAATGATTGCTTCACTCCTTTTTGGAATCTTGGTGCCTCAGATTCCGATATCCTTAAATGTTATTTGGTTTAATAAATAAACAATGTATATTTCATTATTAGTAGTCATTCATTGTGTGCATTAATGATACTTTTTCCCTGTTTTGATGGCATTGTGATAAATCAGAAAATCATGTTTGGTTTTGAAATTTTAAGTGTCAGGTGTCATTTTTCTGTGTTTGAAAAGATCCCTTTATTTGCGGAGAAAATTAGCTCAGGGAAATGGAAGGAGATATGGTTTAGCTTTTTCTTCTTTGCCCACTGCCATCATGTGTTGGTGATATATTCATGGGAAGGGGAGTATGCCAAACATGATGGATGGAAGAAGGCTCAAAAAGGATATTCTTGGGTTGTTCTTACAAGAAAGGGTGATTTTCGTAGGACCCTACCAGAAGGGTTTTTGTTTTTTTGTTTTTTTGTTTTTTTTACCAAAGTAGAAGTTGGAATGACTGTGCAGTAAACATTGGCATCTTCTATGTAGGCTCAAAGTTTTCCCAGCCAGTACATCCGAAGTTAGTGTTGTTGAAGATAGAGCTGCAGAACAGCAATTGACAACAACTAAAAACTGGGTGCCATAGACTGTAAATGTTATAACTCGAGAAAAAGAGGATGTTATTTTGATGCATCTTTAGAATTAGAAAGATTATTTTATACAATGGAAGATAAGGTATGAGGCATAACACTGAAAATATGTATTGTTTGTGAGACAGTGAATATATATTTTATTATTTTTATTGGAAAGGCAGATATATAGAGAGAAGGAACTACAGAGAGAAAGATCTGTCCTCTGGTTTACTCCCCAAGCAGCCGCAATGGCCAGAGCTGAGCTAATCCGGAACTAGAAACCAGAAACTTCTTCCATGTCTCCCATGTGAGTGGGACATCATTTGTTGTTTTCCCAGGCCACCCTGGGATTAGAATTGTTGCCCAGATGGGATCCTGGCATGTGCAAGTAGAAGACTTTAGCCATTAGGCTAAAGTGCCAGGCCCTGCGAATGTTCTTTTTGAAAGATAGTGACAATTCTTGGGCAACATGCAGTATCCCAGTGGCTAAGATCCTTACCTTGCATGTGCTGGAATCCCATCCCAGTGCCAGTTTGTATACCTGTTGTTCCACTTCCCATCTAGCTCCCTGCTTTTGGCCTGGGAAAGCCGCTGAGGACGGCCCAAAGCCTTGGGACCCTGCACCTGCATGGGAGACTTGGAAGAGACTCCTGGCTCCTGGCTTTGGACTGGCGCAGCTCTGGCTGTTGCAGCTGCTTAGGGAGTGAATCAGCAGACAGAGGAAGATCATTGTCTCTTCTCTCTGTATATCTGACTTACCAATAAAATGAAAATAAACCCTTTAAAAAAAAGTAAAAATTATGTCTTTCAACATAGCTGATGTAGTCCCATTAACAGTAGCAGGTGGGGTCAGGTGGGGTCAGCACTATAGCATAGTAGACTAATCCTCTGCCTGCTAATGGTGGCATCCCAGAAGGGTATCAGTTTGTTTCTGACTGCTCCATTTCTGATCCAGAGCTCTGTTTATGGCCTGGGAGGGCAACAGAGGATAGCTTAAGTCCTTTGACCCCTGTACCCATATGGGAGACTGGGAAGAATTTTTGGCTTCCATTTTCAGATCAGCTTAGTTCTGAACATTGTGGCTGTTTGGGGAATGAACCAGTAAATGGATGACCTTTCTCTCTGTCTTTCCTTCCCTCCATGTAAAATCTTCCTTTTAAGGGAAGTAATAATAATAATAAAACCAGTTAGAGAGTATCTTAGAAAAAGTGGAGAGTTCAGATTGGGTATAGTATCATAGTTGATGATATCAAAGGCAAGAGCTCTCAGTTCTGTTCAGTATCTGGGGAGGATGGAAGTAGGGAGTTAATGCAGTAGTTGAATATTAAATACTTTGTAATCGGCTTCTTTTTAGCATATCATCCTCATCCCCTAAAAAGGACTGATACTGGGAACGTACCAATAATGTTCTTGGTTTATGTGTTTGAAGAAAGTCTGTGATCTTGAGTGGCTTTCGGTTTGGAGATCTGAATTTATGTCAGTTAACTAGACTGGAAACTTTGGCAAGTCACTTTGTCTCAGTTTTTTTTCCAGTGTAAAAAATATTACGGGGCCTGGCATGATAACACAGTGGTTGAAGTCCTTGCCTTGCATGCACGGGGATCACATATGGGCTCCGGTTCTAATCCCGCTGGCCCCACTTCCCATCCAGCTCCCTGCTTGTGGCTTGGAAAAGCAGTGGAGAATGGCCCAAAGCCTTGGGATCCTGCACCTGTGTGGGAGACCCGGAAAATGTGAAATTTTTCATTGCAAATAACAGGAAGGGAGTGTCATATGGCTTTTGCCATAGTGAAAATGAAGCACATGACTTGATAAGTTCAACTTTGGAGCTATTCTTAGTTCTGACTTTGGGTGAAGTTAAAGAAGTTATTGAAGTTGATGGAGTGAAAGCTAGTCAATATTTAAATTTTGTTGATGACATATGACATGATTATTTTAGCAAGTTTTAAATTTAGGCTGCTGTAGTGCTTGTTCTTGTCCTAAATGTTTGACAGTATATAGAATCACTCCCTGTTTTGTAGATTGTATGTGTATGCAGAGAGAAATGTGAGAGGAAAGATTGTATTGAAGAGCTCACTTGTAATTATTTCAATTATTTTTCAATAGATAATATTTTCTTTAGATTTATTTATTTACTTTTATTGGAAGGCTAAATACACAGAAAAGGAGATACAGAAAGATCCGGACAGAAACTGGTTGCCCAGAGGGACCTGGCACCAGCAGGATGAGGATTTATCACTAGGTTGTTGTGTTGGGGCCAACAGATAGCCTTAAAACAAACAAACAAAACCAAACTGGTAAAATGCAAATGTAAGCTGTTCTAATTTTTGAAAGATCTTAGGGATTATCGTAACTAGGAATGGATCACAGATATTACCTAGGAGATTACACTATTTCCTGTATACACTGTGGGTATCATTTATCCAAAAGCATAGAAGTATAATGCATAATAGAAGTGCTTCAAAGTTTGGATTTTTTTTCAGATTTTGGAATATTTGTATTTCTGTTGTGGAGTATTTTGATTATGAGGGCCCAAATCTAAATATAAAATTAATTTATGTCTCATATATACTTCATATACATAATCTGATGATCATTGTTAAAGCTTCATTTGTTTTCATTTTATTTGAAAGGCATAAGTACATCTTCCACCCACTGATTAATTCCCCCAAACTTCCCCCAAATGTCACAACTTCCTGGTCTGGACCAGGCTGAAGCCTCAATTCTGGAACTCAATCTACTTATATCACACGTTCAATTGGGACCCAATCTGCTGCCTTCCACGATGCACGTTTTTAACAGAAAATTGGATCAGGAGTGGAATAGTTAGGATGCAAAGCTGGCCCTCCAATGTGGGATGCAGGCGTGTCATCAAGACTGAAGCACACATTTTGTCTGCAACGCATTGTATGAAGTTAGGTATTTTTATTTATGGTATCATATCACCATTGAAAAGTTTTGGGTTTTGGAACATTTTGAATTTCAGATTTGTTGCTTTTCTCATACTTCTAGAGTTGAGTTGATTTTTTTAAGTCTTTCTCCTTGTCTTATAGTTGGCCATTTGCTCCGTGAGTTTTGCATGTTTTTTCCGCTGTGTATGCTTGTGATATCCTCTTAAGAGAAGACAATCGTGTATGATTAGAGCCCATCTTAATATCCTCATTTAACCTTAATTCTTAAAAGTGATAATTTGTATCTTATTCCCCAATACAGTCACTTTCTGAGTATTAGAAGTGATGGCTTTAAGGTATGAATTTGGACGGTACATAGTTTAGTCCATAGTAGCATATCTATGCAGATCTTTCTAGGGTTCATGTATTTTGTTAGAAAAAAATCAAGAAGGCATATTTTCTCAAGATTTCTAGATTTAAAAATTTGCTTGAAAGGCAGAGATGGATCAAGTCAGGCCTTCCATACTCTGGTTCACTCCCCTTTGTTCCCTCTCCCAGGGCTGGGTCAATCAAGGAAGTGGGTTGTTCTCTAAAACTTATAAAATGAATGCAGCCCTGCTGACAGTGTGACGTTGGATTGCTAATCTATAGTGCCATATGAAAATAAGTTTGTTACACTTGCTTTGGGAAACTGATAGGAGTACCTTGCTATAATTGGAAAATGTGTTAACCTTACAGAGCCCCTAGAAAAGCTTTCAGAATGCTAGAGTTTGTATGACTACAGATCAAACTGAACCCTACTATTGAGAATTCTTTTTTAGTGTAACCCAACTGCCAAACATATACTGGGTAGAAGAATAAGGTGATTTATATTTAAGAGCAGAAGATGTATATAAATTATAAAGTCTGTATCTCAATTTTCTTTAAGTGTTAATTTAATACACTTGACCAAGAAAAATTGGAGGGATACATAACAAAATAATTTGTTTCTTTTGGTGAC